TGACGAATTTCAAGATTATTTAAAAGAATTTGAGATGGAAATTGATGAATCTAATTTTAAAACATCAGCTTTAAAAGATACGTGTAAACTTAGCAATGTTTCAAGTAGAGATAAAGTGAAAAATGTGTCTTCAATTGCTGCTAAGACTGCAACAGGTATTGGTACTGCTGGTGTTTCAATTTCTGACGATGGTCTTAGAGCTGCTGGAGTTGGTGCAATAAACACTGTTCGTGGTTTGTCTGTTGGTTTAATTGTTGTTGGTGTAGTATTAACAGCAGGAATGTGTGCTTGGTCAGCTGTATCAAATGGTAAACAAATGTATGATTATTTAAATCGATTATGTGATGATCTCATATTTATTAGTGGACATGTAGCGATAAAAATTATTAAGAATAATGATAAAATACGTAAAGAAATTTTGAATTAGACATGAATAAAAATATATTTTATACTTTAAAAAGTGTTCGATACATTTATCTTATTCATGTTTGTTACTTTTTAGAGAGAGAGTTCCATTGAGTAACATATTTCTAATATTGTGAAATTTGTGCTTAAGCAGTAAATAATCTTCAAATATTACTCGAAGAACATTGGTTGAGAACGAGAATACAGTTGAAAATGTTAGCAAAAGCTGTGAAAATTCCATTGGAATTCATTGGCATAATAGCAGGTGCACCAAGGAGGAGAAGGTTATGTTCCTGCATAATTACCGTGAAAAATGTCATTTAAATGTCGTTTCACGCTATTACCACTATGACTAGTAGCGGAAGCAGGATTTTGGCCTACAGGATTTGAGCTCCATATTTATCTGCCAAAGTTTGCACGGTAGTACACAATTTTTCTAAGTTTTCAAACTCGATGCGCTTATTTGCGTTTCTAAATCCTATTTAATCACTTAGTGCTCATGGATTTTTTTATATATAAATCCATAAATGAGAGCGGTATGTGGGTGTAGTCTTTCTCTCTAGTCACATCCACCCATGCAGCGTATTCTAGGCTTTCTTTCTTTATATAGTAGCTAATAGATAAAAAACAAAAAAAACAAAGGGTATACTTCCAATTTTCGTGGACTGTAATGTTATGGAAAGTTCAGCATACTCTCTGTATGTAAGATATATGAAATTTTTCTTAATCTTTCTGGTTTCCTCGACATTTTACATGAGGAACAACATCAAAATTTTATTCTGAATATATATTCTTGTGGAGCTTAACAAACTCTATTGATCTATATAAAATATCTAGAAAACAATATTTCGCTTCATAGTGTTTTTGCAAAAAAATGTAAGATATAAAATTTTAAGCAGGTCATAATGAGTAAAACAATCATTAATATTTTCATGACGTCAATGCAATTCGAACCGTTTTTTCAGATGATATCTTTAATCTTCTCTGCAAAGTCGTATATTTCAGTTAAGTATCTATATATGTATTCATATAGGTAAAGTAAATATCCAGAGAGGGTCACAAATTTTGAACCACCCTTTAGAATCATGAAATTGTTTGTGTATCTAGGTTTGAAAATTCATAAGGAAACAAACCATTGATGAAATGACAATTCACCAAACCTTACTATCACAATAGACGTCTCTCTATTCCGAAAAACAAGCTATAAATAATTATATATCCAGTCAATGATCAACTTAGTGTAGACTAATGACGATAAAAGAAGGAATGTGAATATCATGCAATTTGTTCATTTTATCACTCTAAAAAAAACACTGGTTTTTTAAGTGGTCGGTTGTTGGATTCAGCTCAACCTAGTCGTACACCTGACTATGCCACTAGTTCTATCCAATTTGAAGCTTTGATTCTGATTGTATGCACAATAAAAAGGTTTTACTATATATTGGTTTTATTTAGACCGATTTTATAAAATGAAACCATAATTGATGCATCATAGAAAAGAAAACAAGACAAGTGACAATATTTAATAATAAAAACGTCCTTGTTCTTGACACCTTCATGACGAGTAGGATATGCCAGAATACACTGACTTTAATTAACTTTTTTTTCTTCACTTGTTCTCTATAATATATCTGAGATTAATATCAGGTGCGACAGAATAAATGAACCTCTCAGTATTTTGCAAATATCTCTTTCAAGTTGAGACGTATATACTTGACTCTTTTTTAAAAAGATAGCCCGTGCAATTCTCTACAAAATCTTATGAAAAGAGCTCTTCTAACGAATAGCTATGAAATTATATACCGTCAACACTATAATGCTCCGCAATGATCAACTTTCAAATACGCCTTTTTATTAAACTAATTATTTCATTTGTTCCAGCAAAACAGATAGGAGACCCTAGTCTAATGCAAGTTTCCTATGCTTTCAGGTGCACTCTTTCTAAAGGAGTTTAAAAGAAGATATTCGGATACAATTCTGATGTTCCAGCAGCCAATCTTCTTAAAAAACGAGTTGGAACCATCGATCGTTCTCATTATATATCTCAAGCATTGCAGAAAAAAAATACTTTTGCAATGTTCTGCTCATATCGAAATGACAGATAAAACACTTTCCTTCAATTTAGTAATGAATCTGAATATGTAATAATTTTCTATTCACCATAACAAAATTAAAGCTACGATAAACCTTACAGAAGATTCGTACAACGTGAGTAGAGAGGAACAAAGAAAAGATTTGGTTCGAGTAAATTTACGGTGTATTATCAAAAGTATTCATTCGACTGAAAGAGCTTTTCATGAACTACAAATGCTTTATTCAATCTCTTTATATGTGGTTAAAAGAGCGGCGCAAAATCATTAATATGAAAACAACCTCTTTAAAAGTTGACCATTTTGGAGTATTATAGTGTTGACTGTATATAATTCCATAGCTATTCGTTAGAAGAGCTCTTTTCATAAGATTTTGTGGAGAATTCCACGGGCTATCTTTTGAAAAAAATTCAAGTATATAAGTCACAATTTGAGAGAGATATTTGCAAAATACTGAGAAGCTCATTCATTCTGAGGCACCCCATAAAAAGATAATTTGTTTTTCACAAGTTTGTTGATACTAAATATTTTTTTTCCTATAGAACCAAAAAAATATAAGAATCCATCAAAGAAACAAAAAGAAGCAAGAGAAATTGGATAGGTTTACGCATCAAATAACGTTATAAGTCGACTACTAATTATAGCTTCATTTTTTTCCTTCAGATTAACAGAGCAACATTCTTTTACTACAGGGTGCCCCAAAAGTCTACAGGAAGAAAAATATGAACAACTCCACTCTGTTTCAATCGAATATGTTAATTATTTTTTTGGATGATACAGATAATTTCAAAGTTCTTTTCATAAGAACAAAGTTTATAAATATTATTTTGAACTGTCACCTTTGACTAATATACACAAAATCATTTTCTCGACAGTCCCAAAAATCGACCAAATGACCTCTAACCACTCTCGAATGTGTCGAGATGGGAGTAATCGGTCACATTGAGTCGAGTGGTGATGTTTATTTGTAGTTTTAAAGCGATCTGAAGTGACGCAACCGAGATTTTTGAAATATCAGCTCTACGATAAACGCTGGAATTTTGAAAATCTCGGCTGAGTCACTTCAGATCGCTTTAAAACTACAAATAAACATCACCACTCGACTCAATGTGACCGATTACTCCCATCTCGACACATTCGAGAGTGGTTAGAGGTCATTTGGTCGATTTTTGGGACTGTCGAGAAAATGCTTATAGCGTCTTAACGGAACAAGCCAGCGAGCTCAGCCTTGCACAGATCGAAAGAGAACAATTTTCTCTATCGAATGGTCATATCGAAGTTAAAAATCGAATTGTAAAATGTTTTTGTGTATATTAGTCAAAGGTGACAGTTCAAAATAATATCTATAAACTTTGTTCTTATGAAAAGAACTTTGAAATTATCCGTATCAGTCAAAAAAATAATTAACACATTCGATTGAAACAAAGTGGAGTTATTCATCTTTTTTTCCCTGTGGACTTTTGGAGCACCCTGTAGTTGGAAAGAGCAAATCAAGTTGTACTTATAACATACAAAAGCTGATATGAATCATGACTTCTTGGAAAATAAGTTAAGTACATCAAACATCGGTTAAGTGTAATAATGAGGTGGAATGGTCGCACCCAACATATTGCTGTCAAAGCAAGACATACAGATAAAATGCAGAATTTTCATACGTGACTGGTGTTAGTAGCATTGTATCTTTATGGAAAGATAAGTGAAGTCGATCCAGAGCGATTGCCACAAAAACGGTATGCATCTTTTTGTTATTATATTTTCCCCTCCATTATTGCTCTTAATCAATATTTGGTGTACTTGACTCATTTTTCCAAGAAGCCATGATTCATACTAAATAGTTCTTGTCTGTTATAAATTCAGCTTGATTTGCTCTTTCCAGTTATACCATTTGATTTGCTTTATACGTTAAGATTTTATTTGTAAACGCACATTTTTGAGTATCAACATATAATATTGTAAAAAGCTTCTAGTAGAACAAAATAGTTTACTAGTGTTACCGAATCAAATCATTTTCACCTTTGAGTTCTAATATATTATATCGAGAAATATAATCTACTCTTGTAGATTTTGAACAGATCTGGCTCTTGAAACATTCGTTGTATAATAGACTTTGATTAAAAAATCGTGAGATTTCGGAGAGTATCTCATATCTTGAGGTTTTGAAGTAAAATACCTCCAATTAAACTTCGAATAGAGTAGAAAATTTAAAAAGAAGTTAGTATTATAGTAAACGATACAAGTGTGGACTCAATGGATTGTAAAAATTAATAAAACCTCTTCTTTTCACAATGAAGCTATAATTATGTTACCGTCTTTTTTCAGTTGTGTCAAGTTTTTTTTTCTTCAAGTAGCAAGACAGCAAAGAAGGAGATAGTGAAAATAGGTAGCTAACGTCGTTAGACTATTTTTTATTGATTGAAAAACTACAAACTAAGATAAAGATTTTAAAAAGAACGTTTCCTTTTTATTTATTTATATTTTGTAGAATAATAAACACAATATATAAAAATGTCTTCAAATAATGCGTTAATTCGTTCAATAACAATATATGCTGGTTTTCCTATATTTATTGGTGGAACATTAGGAAATTTACTTAATGTTCGTTTTCTTTGGCGAACTCGTCACAATCCTTGTGCATTTATATTTTTGATTTCATCATGTATTAATTGTATTGTATTATTTTATGGTTTATTAACACGAATATTAAGTATTGGATTTAATCTTGATTGGTCAACAAAAGATCTTATTTGGTGTAAAACTCGTCTTGCTTTTACACAAGCAAGTACTTCAATATCTTTATCATGTATTTGTTTAGCAAGTATTGATCGATTTCTTGTTAGTTGCCGTCAAGATAAATATAGAAAATTAAGTAAATTATCAACAGCTAGATTAGCTGTTATTATAATAATTATTTTTTGGTTGTGTCATTCTATTCCTTATTTAGTTTATGCAGAACTTTTAACAAGTTTAACTACAGGTTTAATATCTTGTTCATTTGTTCCAAATAAAGAATTTACTAATTATAGAATATATGTTACACTTCCTATTTATACGGGCTTATTTCCAAGTTTAATTCTTGCAATAATAGGTATAATGACATATAAAAATACAAATAAATTACAAATTAGTCGTCAACGTCAATTAGTTCAAAAACAATTAACATCAATGATGCTTATGCAAATTCCAATACTATTTTTTACAATATTACCATATATTGCATTTACAGAATATACTTTGCTTACTACAACTATGATTAAATCTCAAGATAAAAAAAATATTGAAAATTTATTTGCCAACATTTTTCCACTTATTTTTTACATAACATTTGCATGTCCATTTTTTGTCTTTTTTGCATCATCAAAATCATTTAGACAAGAAGCAAAAATGTTTTTTTCATGTCAATTATTCATAAATCATCGAGTTCAGCCTCAGTCAACAACTACTACTAGAAACATCCAAGGAAATTTACCAGCTGTTGAAAAATAAACAAGATATCTAAATTTGACATAACTTGTTCATGCAATGTTGTCTGTCTGTCTATCTGTCTCTTGACATTTATCACAAAATTATTTTTGTTCTTTTCAAAGAATTAAAATTATCCTTTTTAGTATAACGTGTTTATACAAATGATCTTATTGACGAATATTTGCTGTTAAAAATAATCTAATTAACAGACCTTGCAACGATAATATTTTCTACGTTTTCACCATATGATGGTGATCTTAGAGAAAACGTGACTTTATGCAACAGAGAAAATAGCAACTTCCTTTTTCAACAACCATTGTGAGTATGGATGCCATTTAGCAACAAAAGCATTGAGAGATTTTATAAGCCTTATGCGACGATATTTCTCTACGACATCCAGACAGACAGAGATCTCGAAAGGCACAAACTTTATGAATCAATAAAACAAACTTAGTGGCATAGCCAGAAAAAAAGTTGTACAGGGAGTCCAAGCATTTTTCAACAGAACTCTACTGTTTGTTGAGGAGCTGATTCCCCAGCTGGTTGTGCCACTACTTTCTAACTGTCTATTTCTTAGTTTACTTATTCTTGCGATATCGATAATTTCAATCTGCAGCAATTTGCGTATAGTAAATCAAGAGTAAAACTGTGAAGCTTTGAACACAAGCACAATATGAAGAACTTGAAAGGCAATATAGTGATACATTGCAATATTCATGTGCCAAAATTTTTTTATCCCCTACACAACTTTTGTCAAACTTGTTCTATCATTTCATCAAGTATGTTTTAGCGACTTTGTGCAATAGAGATTTAAAATAGAAGATCTCTCTTTTAACATATCTTGAGGGTGTGGGGTATGTGTAGGTGTGACTGACAACAATGCCCACACTCACACCCTACAGATTTGTCGATGAGCGACATTGCGCATTTCGGTATCAATGAAGAGTGAGGATGTGGATAGGTGTGAGTGACTGTTTCGCTCATCTACACCCACCCACCCGTACTGAGTAAAGCATGTCGACTGTGGACGTATTAAATGTATTTATGCAAGTATTGTTTCGTGGATAAGTGACATGACAAAAGAAAATTCTTTTTTTGAAATCCCCTTCTTTTTGCTTGTGCAATGACATATAATTCACAATCATCCTCAAGATAGCTGTAATATATTAGTGTGTTGGAGTGTACGACACTGCTGCTGGCAACGCAAATATGGGACACATTATCTTGTTATGTACTGTGTCGTTTTTACGACTAAAAGGAAAGAAAACGATGCTTCACACATCGTGATAAGGAATAAAAAAAAAGAAAACGAAATCTAAATGCGTTTAGAGAACAACCATCATTCAATATCTGCATATGGCGCAAAAGAAACTTAACTTTACTTTGCCATCGATTAAACTCAAATTATTAGAAAGAACAACGACAGTTAAGACAAAAGTGATCCAGCCTGAACATCTTCCAGTCAAAATGTGGATACCATTGAACTCATTCCTGGGGACTGATTTC